TTCCTCCACTATCTCTCATTGGCTTCATCTGCATTGATCTCTTCTCAGATAGTCAGTCACCTGGTTATTTGATATCATGTTGTCTGGTCTCAGTCTCTCCCACCAGCAGCCTGTTCTGCTTCACTTGCAAGTGTGTCGTAGAAGTGTCTTTTGTCTCTTCGTGCACTCTTCTTTACTTTTTTGTCCAGTGTTTTATAGGTTGTGTTCAGGTCCTCTTTTCTTTGTTCATCCTTGCACTGGTTCATCCTCTGCTTCACCATCTCTCTCTCCCTCCCTTATCAGATTCCGTGTATCCGTCAAGATCCATTCCTTGTCCTGCCTCCTCTTCTTCCTTTCTAATACAGTTATGCAGGTTTCTATCCACATAGCTGTCAAACAGCTCCAGTGTTCTTTCATGCAGGTTTCTTCAGGAATGCTGCTTAATGTCTCCCATTTTGTAATGATGGTTGACTGACGTGAAGATGCCCTTTGAAGCTTCATCCTTCAGTTCACTTTCTGTTCTGGGTGTTGAACTTGAACTGTGGTCTATCACCAACTTCTGTGAAGGCTTTCAACTTTATTTTGAAGGTTTCTTGGACCAGATAGTGAGTGGTGTGAACCTATATCTGCTCCCTTTCTTGATCTTGTGTCCGGTAAGCTGCATCTCCACCTTCTTAAGATTGAGATGAAGTCGATCTGATTTTTAGTTTGTCCATCTGGTGAAATCCATGTCGCTTTGCGAATATCTTTCTGGTTGTATACACTACCTCCAATCGCCAGGTCATTAAATGTGCGGAAGTCTGCAAACAGTTCTCCATTCTCATTCTTCATTTCATTCAGTGCCTCTCCACCCATGATGAGTTCTCTTGTTGTGTTATCCGCTCCCATTTTGGCATTCATGTCACTGCACCCATTAGAATTTTGATGTCGTCATCGCCAACTGGGGTGGAGTCTTGTCCAGTACTGGTTGCAGTTGTCTGTAGAATTCCTCCTTTTTCGCTTGCTCTGCATTACTTGTATGTGCGTAGCATTGTACGATTGTGACTTTCCTTCCTTTTGAGTTGAATCTTACTGTCATGATCCTGATCGTGGAGGAGATTGGTTCCCACTGCATGAGAGAGAGCCTTTGATGCTGTCAGGGAGCGTGATGATAGCCACTCGGTAACTCAGTGTGCTCGTGGTTGTCGTCTTGGTGACAATATCGAAGTAGATTATTGACTCTCTAGTTGATAGTTTAAAGAGTCCACTTCCATTCCATCTACTTTCGCAGATTCCTAGCGTGACGCTTCTTTGCCATACCTACTCATCTCTTTTGCAATCTGGGCAGCCTTGCTAGGTTCCTGCATGGTGCGGACATTTCATGTCCCCATTCTTACTTTTGCTTTCATCGAGGGAAAGAAGAAACATCGGCCAATTGGCTTCCCGAAGGCTTTCACCAACTGGCGTCATTTTGCGTCTCTGATTCCAGCGAATTCTAAGTTTAATTTTATGTTTTATATTTGCTTTGTGCTTTGAAGTTTCTTAAGTGGTTAGATTGGTTTTCTGGTATAGGGTAGGTAGCCCTATGCCTAACCTTCCCTCTTTATCCGGGCTTAGGACCGGCTAGTAACTAGTGAACTAGTTACCCAGGCGAGGTTATTTTTTTCTCCTTACAACATGATTGTTCGCTTCATATTGATTTCATAAAACAACTAGCCAACTAGACTCATTACCATTTCACACGATAAAAACTGGCACCCAATTGATTTGATCTCCACTTGCCTATAACAAAGACTGCTTCGATACTCAACTATTTTCACTCTATACCTTACTTTGACTGTCGTATTTCACCTGATCACATGGGTTTATGATTGCTGATTCTGAAGAAAAAGTTACTGAAAACAAATGTTTGTTCAAACCATTTTTGTTCTAAGTAGACATTTACTGTTAACTGACCGACTGGTTGACAAAATTGACATAGAACCTAGCACACAAGCGCATCGGCTCAAGTCACCACACTCCACACCAGTACACAAAGAACACGTGTATCGAAAAAGGGCGACATCGAAGTAAACAAAGTTGTGTGAGAGAATAAACAATCTGAAGATAACAGTTAGTGCGAATATTCAAGTTTTAGAAGACATCAAAGAGTGAATACATCTGCGTTATTGTGACCGATTTCCAGTCATGTCACAGAGAGCCAGTCCTCAACCACTGACTCCTTTCGTCTCGGAGACCACAACTAGGCAGTCTACATCACCGTAAACGACCAATAACAATAGTCAGAGACCTCGTCGAGTGATGCCACGTCTTGATCTGACCACTCTGAACTCCCTTCCAACCTCACCCGATTTCGGTTGGCATGGTGTATCGAGGTAGGCGGTGGGTCGACATGAGCAGTACATATCCAAGCCATCTCAGTTAATTAAAGTTCACAACCTGATCAATCGGTTAGCCTGTCTGGCCTAGTACCATTCGCTTGACCTCAACATTGCTCAGACGGTGACTGCACAAAATGCGAAGTAGGCCTTCTGTATCTGAGCTGAGATTTCGTCAGCAACCAGTTGGTTTGAGCTGATGTAACTCGCTAAGTAGGTGAAGTGGTCGAAACACTCCACCACTTGTCTCCCTATCATTAAACTGGGAGTGCTTGTAGTAGACCAGTCCTGAAGTATCATTTTACATTTGACAGATGCGAAACGCATGCCAAACACGCTCAGGTTTCCACTCAACGCTTTCGAAAAATCAACTAGTGGCAGTGGTTAAGACAATTGATTAAATCGGCCTTATAGGATAGAATTTTGCTTTGAAATCAAAGGGAATCTAGCTCGAAGCAAATCATTAGGAATGACTAGATGTTTATCCCATTGGAAAGTAAGAGGTAAATCCACTGAAGATAGATACCGACTACACTGGTAGAACTATATGACGAATTGATGGAATTAAGGCAATATCAGTTATAAAATTCCAAGCTAGGGACTGAATAGCGGTGTGCTTATCAGTAGATCTGTTGGTACTAAGTACAACACCTTATGCTGTCGTAGGTGTCAAGTGCGGAGTCCCACGCTAAAGTGACACAGTTGTTTGGTGCTTTCCAGCCTCTACTGACCCAGTAACTGATACTGATCCATAAAGATAACTGGTCTGAAGTTTCTTCATCCCCCATAAACCTTTCATATGGATTCATAGATCGTTTACACTACACTACAACTGACCTATGCAGATGGAAGACATCACTTGATATGAATAGCCAAATAATTCTAAGGAGCATTTTCGGGTAAACCAAATAATCAGTAACATATCTCATATTTTAGTAGTTCTAGCTGACGCAAATATCTACATATCTGGATATAAGACTCTGGGAGTCAGAGAGCCCTTTAACTACTCAGGTTTCATGTTTATTGCCACTTATCGATTAGGGGTATCCGCAACCAAGTGTTATTGCGTTGCTAAACCACTCAATGCTGTAGTCAGAATTGAATCGTACACACCAGAAGGTTACCAACGCAGATGTTTGGCCCTCACTATTCAGTACTAAAGTTTATCGATCTAGTTAGTATTACAGCCGCTACGCTAAGTGACGCAAAACTGCAGCCAATAAAATGAAAAGTTAGTGCACAGCAGTCTTGGATCCTTTGACTCGGTGGTCATAATGCAAATTTGATAGACAGACCTTGATCGGTGCCAACCATTAAGGACTAGACAGCTATATCGGTTACTGTTTAATTACCACTACACTACTTATGGGGAAATATGCATCTACTTATGTATGCACTAATGCTTAAAGAAAAGAGAGAGCACAGCAATACCTGCACTGCTGCGGTCAGCTTCTTAGCTTGGTGGCCACATTGCAAAATGATCAATAGAATTCGACCAGCATTTAGCACTAGACAAAATGAAATTGGGAATAGCATCAATAACTGAGGTGTATGTGCAATGAGGTGGTGAGTATCAAAGAGGATGAAAAGAGTCTTTGGATTCCAATAACAAACAAATAACATACATTTGTTTTCAATAGTAAAGTTGAATAAGGCAAGAACAGAGATATCTGCAGAACAAGATGGACCCATTTGTTGGGAAGCTAGTAGATTACGTAAGGGTATGAAAAATTAGAAAAACTCCAAGCTGAGTGATTAAAGGTCAGTAACTATTAAAGAGATGATGCAACCAAACAGAAACGAAAAGGAAGGTTAATTGTAGTCTGTTTCTGAGTAAAAAAGGTCTAGAATGAAATTTTTTGATGGCGAAAGTATCCGCCAACCGTAATAAGCATGGCGTTTTTCGATTGTTGATTATCCTGAAGAAATATATATTTAGTATCCTGATTCCCTTAGGTGCCTGGCGATTGTGCTAGTGAAGACGTCGCCACCGTTCAGACACAAATTTTTCGAAATCTACTCACTGAATCGAGTAGGTGCCTTTCTTTCGGTACGTCCTTTGTACTTGCTTCCACAAGCACATGCAAATTGATATACACAGTTGGGAGTGACGTGGGATAGGTGTTTGTCTGCTTTCGACTGCATTTTTAAGCATATTGTATTGTAAACTGCGATCATTCTGGCAGTAGGAAAGCTTATTTTCAGAGCAAATTTTATTCTTATGTCTATTCTTTTAGATGTAGCACTACCATTGAGTGCTAGACGAAGGAAAATAGGTTTTCTCTGAAAAGCTGGGTATTTGGGTCTCTCAATAAATTCTTTTCCCTCCTTCATGAAGAATTTCTTCGGATATCTGTCCTCTAAAAGTTCTTTCAATGAAAGCGAATTCTTCGAGCTTGCCTTCTGAACATACAGCTCTTATTCTAGTGGAAAACGTCTGTAACTAGACTTTCCTACCTCATCAGATGTAAAATGCCATTTTGGCTAAGATTTGTGATTATTAATCATGTATTTCCTTGACTCACTACCTTATTGTTGATCCTCGATTTCGAATCTTCATTTATTTATGCACATTCAAAGCATGCTATTTTTGCAGATGTCTTTGCTCTTGATTTATTCAAAAACAGTATCGTAATGGAACTCATCGAAAAATTGTACAAGTTGTATAAGGATGACTATTTATCGAAAAAGACCGCTCACTTGAGTCTGGCAAAGTAAAACGTGGCAAAACAATTCCAAAATGGCAGCTTAAATTGATATTTCATTACAACGGCGGATTAAAGTAGGTACACTTTAATGCAAGGCTCTGCTTCTGTTTAGTCCAAAAGTGAACACATAAGCAATACAAGCAATCGACACACATATGATGAAAAATACAACCAAAACGTAGAGCCAACAAAAAGTTGCTTTTTTAAATTATATGAAAGTAAATGCAAATTAAATTATTAGATTGAATTGGCAAATTTAACTTTGATACAAAAAAACGTTTAAAGATGAGCACGCAATCACTGTAAAGTTAATTTTAAATTTGTTGAAATATAATCTTGTATGTGATCTTGTCTGTGTTAAGTGATTGAAATTTCAGTTTTACTCGCACTTAATACGTCATAAACGATACTCAAAAATAGACGAATTCGGTTAGTCAAGGTTGAGAATAGTATTGATAAATCAAAGTCAGTTAACCAATCGGTTTCAAGGGTTTGTAAGTGCAGTACGAGTTTCACTATTGAATTTAAATACGAATCAAACTATACATGAGTAGTTTTATTTGATTTATCTCGCAAAAGAAATAAGAATGTAAGTCAAACTGCTTCTAAATCAGTTCTTGTTTCATCCCTTTCCTTTCTTGTCATTGATTCTATTTTCCAAAAGTTATTAGATTATTGGGTTTAGTACAAGTCTTGTCGAATTAAATATCCTTCAATGACTTTGAATTAAAGGAATACGAATGAATAATAAAAACAGAAATGTACAATAACGTTATTAATTACAACCTGCAGGCTGGTATCTTTACTCAGAAAAACGGATGTTTGACAGTTAAAACTGTGGCAAATATTCGTAGCTCATGATATGGATGTTCAGAAGTGGTCTCAACGTACTACAAACAAACAAAAGAAACCAACCAATCACATAGTCACACACTCCTCTGAGACAGAAAACCAAACAATTAGGTTTAGCATACACCCATGCACTCGCCAAGCAATCAGTCAAACCACGCAGTCACGTTATAATTATCCATACAAAACCAGTTACTTCACTTTCTTGTGAAGCTCTGGTGCGCTGATGAAGATGTCTGGAATGAAACTAGAACGTTTGCTAGCTAAAGGCCTAGCTTAGATAACGATTTGCTCTGAACTGAATACTGTTTTATTTCGTCATATACGATACAACCCATCTCCTCGAATAGGATGTGTGAAACTACAAGTAAACATTTTAAAAGTGATTTAAGTTGCATCACTGGATCAGGCACTTCCACTAATAGCCAGTTTAAAAGAATAGATGACTCAACAGGTAATTTCACATTCATGTGGTAAAAATAGTGATCTCTGATCGACAAACAAACCAACCTAGAACCTGGCACTAAATTTTTTCGCTTCAAAGTGCCACATTTCACACAAGCATGCATAGAAAGAAAAAGAATGGCATTGAAGCAGATTAAATTGTATGAGACGAGAGACCATAGATAGGTGGAGATTTGAGAAAATTCACAAAAATCTGAAGAGGACAAGGAGCGTACACCTCCATGGTATTGTTACGAGTTTTGACCCGTATCAGTAAGAATCTCTAACTGATAATTTCCATCGCCTCTAGGACACCAACCAAGCAGTCTACAACTTCCTACAAAGGTCCAAACTTCCTGGACTGGTGCTACCCAATTTTCGTTAGTCTTTGAGAAGTCAGACAATTTTCACTTTTATAACAACCTCATAAGTCAAGTGTGAAAACACACGATGAAAACTGTCGAAAAAAGAATTTGATTTATTGAAAATTGATTATTTGATCACTAACTAAATAACTAAGCTGACTAAAACTTACATCCAACCAACATGACACATACAGAGAATATTTTCTCCGGATTAGTATTAGGACTAACATTACCGAACCCAACGGAAGTTAAACTTGAAAATGTGAAGTATAGTGCTGTAATATACTTTGATTTAATACTTGGTCCCAGTGTTGATCTATTACCAAATGGTTGTTTAATTTGTTCAGCCAGCTGATCTAACCAACCAATGCGTACATTGAACTGTTGACGTTCAACATTGCCAATAGCATACCAGATACATGCCAGCCAGTGGGCGATTAAAACAAATGTGGCCATAAGAAGGAGTAGGACAGCTGCACCATATTCAGAATATCGATCCAGTTTACGAACAACACGTACTAAACGTAAAAGGCGAGCAGTTTTCAACAGACCAATTAATGTAGCCATCTGTAAATAAAATGCAGATGACAATTAGACTTACAATTTTCGACTGTATATACTATTATAGGCACATTAACATTTGAGGACAACAAGGATAGAAATTCGGAAGGAATCTTAGGGGTGCTCAATATTTTGAGTCAATCAACGAAAATCACTGAACTATTATGTTGCGCTTTTGCTAGAAATCAGTGAAAGGAAAGTGTCTGCAATGTTTTTCATTTAGGATTTAAGGGTGTGTTGATCAGCCTAACATTTTTGTTGATAGAAATATTAACTTGTAAGAAACATTGTTTGCTAATACTTGCGGTTTTCCATGGGTTCTAAATTTCTCTTATAATTGCTCAAAAACAGTGACTTGACAGTACAGAAATTTTAAGGAAACAAGATTATTTTCAATACTCTATATAGAAAGAGATATGGCACCAAGACGATTTGGAGCCATGGCTCATTAGTCTAGGCAATAAATTTCCAACCATCGGGTCACAGGTTTGAATACAACTCCACCTACCAAAATCTTGGAAGCCCTCATATAATTGGTGCAGTTCACTGACTACTATAGGAATGTGCACGTAATTGCTGGAAGTATTTACTTTAGTGCTGAGATGTTTGGAGGAGTATGGACTTTGTAATATTTGAAAACTGCTTTGAAGTTAATAAATTTCTCACAAACCTTCCAATCGAATGTATAAATTGTTTGCACAACATATAGGCTTCCTCGAATACAGCCTTGAAGATATTATGAGTCAATGGTTGGAGTATCTGGATGATATGACTCAAATGATGACAGTTGCCCAGACCTACTCACCTACTCGCTATCTGAACAATTTACTAGCACCTTTTGGATAGAACTTCCACACTATGGTCGATTGTAATTTCACTTGAGTTTGCTAGTCAGTAGCACAACACGATGAAACATTTTTATTGGATAGCACTTCAGATACAATTTATTGTCCATATCTAAATAAGTAGGTCAAGTGAGTTACGCTTTCGCACGGCAAAATCCTAAATAAATCAGGATGGATAGATCACAGCAAGATAAGGAATCCGGAGAGAAGCTCAGTTACAGCTGTCCACGCGACCATACACCAAATGATTTGACAGTCATAATAACTAAAGTTTTGTGGAGGAAGAGATTGTCAAGCGAATCATGGTTTATAGAATCAACATCAAAAGCATGCCATAAGAATGATTCAGCGCGTGCTCCAGATATGTGGAATGGAGAAGAGAAAACTCGAGTAATATAAACCTTGTCTCAACGTCATTGAGCTACCTTGATATGAATATGGACCATTAATCGTGTTCAAAACACCACCAAGTAAATAATGCTGTGATATATTTAATAAACAAATCAAAATATTTTTAATATCACCCCGTTTCTGCGGAGTTTTTTCTTTGTGCTGTTACGAAATGTGAAAACTTGAAGTCATGTATATGATATTTCTCACTGATGGCTGTTGGTTATACAGTACAGTAAATTAATGAAAATTGAGAGTGCGTTTCAAATAAACGTAAGTCTAACAAATTTTGCCAAATATCACTTTATCTGATAAACACATAAGCTAAGGATAATTATTGAGCGCAGAAAAAACGAAAGCACTGTAACCTTGAGAATCATCATTCAAATCCAACAGCTACCCATCTTACCGCCTCTTTGCATCTTCTGATTGTAGAAATTTGACGCATTGGCTTTAGAAACTCGACATCCTAACAATTAGTTGTTCCTGGTTCGACCGCCTTTCCACCTACTTCAATCTAAATAACTACGCAGTATCACTAACCGTCATAAAAAAATGTATGGTTTACAGCCCCGTATTTAACTCTTTATCGAATTGAGTTGCATTCTCCCCCTATATATGAACTGTTATTTTACATTTTTTTTCCTTCGACAGCTAACAGTCAATAAGATGAAGACTGTGATGATATGTTTTGTTCCTTAACACTAAAAGCTATGTGTAACATTTCACGATATGACTGACTGACAAAATCAACGTAGAACCTCGCACACAAGTGCATCGGTTCAAATCGCCACACTTCACAGTAGTGCACAAAGAAAGGGTGGATAGGAAAAGTGATATCAAAACAGACGAAGTTGTGTTATACTGTAAAAATTGTGATTGATACACATAATAATAATAATAATAATAATAATAATAATAATAATAATAATAATAATGAGAGGAATCTTAGGATGGTTTCTGATGTAACTACAATGCTCAGATGGCATTATACAGTATGCTGAACACTACATGAATTCTGTACGAAATAAACCACTGAATGCCATGAGTAGCTCTAGTCCCCTCACACCCATCAACAATGTTCGGTAACCGTATCAAGATGATCTAAATACAGAACGGTTGTTTCGCTGGTTTGAGGTCGGGTTCATCAACAGTGTGCGCAGATTGATTCGGCTCGGATAGACGAACTCCAGCTTGCTAATTGACTCTGAATATGTTCAGTCCGCTCATATGCGACCAACATATCAAGATTTAAGCCTTTTTCCGTTTAGAAGCCTGCACCTCACCCCTGTGAGCTTCATTAAACAACCTTAATATTTGCAAAGCATCTGATGACACTAGTCATTAAAAATACAGATAACTCTTCCAAATTCTACGGTTTTCATCTCCAGTTTCGAAATATTACTATAACAAGTTGACCGATATGAATATCATAGGAGACAGAAAGACAACCCTACATTAATCGTTAAAAAAATATCAACTGTTTTGTAAGCTTTGTATTTACCCTTGACTAGGCGCACAATATTAATTAGATATTATCTATCGTATAAGGTGTATTTTTACTTGTGTAATCCAATAAGATATTATCTATCCCTATAATTTTGATAGACTTTAGGATCAAGCTTGACCTAATAGAGTTCAATAAGTTAAGCACTGGATAAATACATTATAGAAGAAATATATTTGTAAAATTCCAATGAGGCAGAAAAATAAATTTCTAACGTTTTGTGATCTCGTGGAATTCGCTTCTTCAGAGAATAAAGCCTGTGCAAGTTATCGCATGTCTAAACAGTAAATGGAGACAAATCAGATCACATTGTTCATACATGATAATAATATGGTATTAAATGTCATAGCTATTAGCTGTTAGTCCATGAGTTCAAAGTGAACATGTGAATGTGTGTAGTGTTGAAAAAAATACCACGGATGAGAAATTCAATTTTTTCCTATGTGCATGTACTTTAGGTATGGTTAGCAAGTGCGACGTGTTATTTTAGATAATAATGTCCAAGTTGGTTAAATAGTTAGGTCTTCCTTACTGTTTAGTGCATTAGGATTTAATATAATGTGAAATGCCTCAACTATCAATCTTTCCTCGTGGTTTGAAAATCTTTTTGAATAATCTTTAATATTTTCAATATCGATTTTGTGGCATAAACAGCAATTGTCGATTTAATTTGTAAATATTCCAGTACTACAGGATTATTTTGAGGTCGTTTTGTGTAACTTACATCTACTTTAGCATGAATGACAATTTCGTGGGAAGACTTCCCAAAATAATAAGGATCTCAATCGACACAGCCTAACCTGTAGACACAATTCTCACATCTTCACACATATTCACACATGCACACACATTCACATGTTCACTTTGAACTCATGGACTAACAGCTAATAGCTATGACATTTAATACCATATTATTATCATGTATGAACAATGTGATCTGATTTGTCTCCATTTACTGTTTAGACATGCGATAACTTGCACAGGCTTTATTCTCTGAAGAAGCGAATTCCACGAGATCACAAAACGTTAGAAATTTATTTTTCTGCCTCATTGGAATTTTACAAATATATTTCCTCGATAATCTAGAATTTCGAATTTTCATATATAAGTAACGGCTATATTTCACTAAATACACGAGACGAGAAATGCTACAAAGCAATAAGTTAGTGACCCATTAGTTTTCATTATTAATGTCCACTTTAGGGTTTTTTGAGTGCAGTCAGACAGCGATTTCTTCTCATGCACAAACATCACACTCAGTTGAACCAAATCATCTCCACTGATCAAACAGAATTCAGTCTACCCTCAGCAACAGAAAATAAAGTTTCGTAAAATAAGAGCGAATTTGATGAATCATTAACCGAAATCTGTGAAATAATGGCTTACGTTTGAATCGTCCATCAATATATGTGATAAACAAACTTGTGCATGCATCTACTGACTTTATTGGGTGGTTGAAGAAAGAGGTCAGTAGGAAGATTTTTAACTAAGTTATATGTTAGCTGGCAATTGCCAGCAAAACGTACTTGCATTCAGAAACCCTACCACTGGATTATTCTTACTGGAATCAGCTTCTTGCAGAGCTAGCTTATCTAATATCAGTTAAAGTGTATGATAAGGTTGAATCGTCTAGCTTGGTAATGGTGATATAAAGTGATACATTGATATACGCTTGTGAACATTCGAACAACAACCTTCAGATTTCACTCTTGATGGTCGCACGATTTCTCAGAAATAGGAAAAATGGTAAGATAGTAGAAGTTGCACTAAAAAGTTAATTGCCAAATAAAAATTCAATTTAAGGTAACCTTAGTTGTTGCGGTCCTTCTTAGAAGGGCATTTTTTATTGATTTCGTCATTTTAACCGATTCAGTATTCAGATATATGATCAAGTATGTTTTCCTGAAATTTTCAGCATGTTGATTGATTATAGTAGATTTCAGGTCTCTCTGAATAGTATGAACAATAAAATTCTATGTAATAGCATTTCGACTTCAGATACACATATTCTTCCAACTACACAAGAATTTCGATTAGCAATGGAAAATGATACTGGATGGACCCTCGTTCACTTTAAGATAGAACAGGACCCAAGCAAAGCTAAAGATAGAAATCAGTATCACCGCCAAATTAGCTACAGCAACAAAAATCCTCATTCCTTAGTTACTCCTTTGTGAAAAGTGATTTTCTTTACATACCAACTAAATGAACATATTCTTTTTCTCTGGACGCATGCCCAAGTACATCTTGGTGAATCTCTTGGAAAATCTTTTGTTATGTAAATAGTTCTCGAGAAACGATAACTCATCTTGCGTTTGATTTTCAGTACAGAGATATTTAGGGTTTTTGAAAAGTGCCCCATTTGACTAAACTTTAGTCAAGGCGATTTTTGGTGCTACCGAATGAGGTCACACGGTCAACGTCAGTTGTTTGTGTTGGTCAACCAAGCTGTTAACGTTAACCTGGCTGTTGATGAATTGCGACGACTTTACCCATTATTGACAGAAAGCCGGATTTATGCAAAGGGCGAATTGTTAGTATGGTGCAGAAATGATTTGCATGTCTGGCGATGAGGGAGGAGATGGCTTCATATTTTGTTGTCCAAGCTGTTGGATGAAGAAATTCATCAGAATGGAATCATTTTTCAACAGGTTTTACTCAACTCTATCGCAAACAATAACGTTGGTATTAACATTAGTTAGTTGCGGGGCCTGTAGTATCACCAAAAGCACTAAGGGATATTAGTGAAGTTCCAGCAGTGCAGTGGTAACAATTACTGCATAGAGACTAACTTGAGAGTTGGATGTAAAGTTTGGAGGACGACGAATGCTAAGTCTGGAAAGGCTAAAATAGCTGTGGATGGCGACTTAAAGTGGATTGGGAAAGTTATATGTATGTGTCAGTTTGTATTCGAAATGATTGGCTGTCACTAACGTTCAATTGAACCCAATGTCCTGATTACTGCAAATGCACATTTTAATGAGTGAAGGATACTACGGTCTGAATACTATCTATTCTCCACCACAACCTATCCACATTGGAGGTTTCAAACAATGGGAAGAGGTGGACAGCCTCATTTAAAGCATTTTAAATGTCTAGTACACAATTCGACAGCACAATTATGTTCAACGAATGAAATGTAAAGAAATGGGATTACTATTTATCTGCATTACCATCAACATCATTCAAGCTTTTGGAGGGATGTTAATGGTAAATCCATCTATGAATTGTGTAAAATCCAGTCGGATCCTTGTGAATCAGTTACCCATGGGCTTCACAGAAAACCTTAAATTTGCTGATTTTTGACTTTATCTAAAGGTATATATTCCAAAAGCATATATATATTCGCAACTTCAGTTTGTTACAAACATTAACAACTAATTTAGGCATGAGTACCATCCTTTAGAAAAATAATTTATTGATTTAAATTGATGCCTGATTTTCATTTTCAACACATTGTTTAACAAATATACCCACTGCGGTGGACACTTCTGGAAAACTCTTGTATTTTGGGTTTCCCCCAAACTCAACTATAGTATAGCGTCAGTCAAATGGAAAAATCAAAGTAGAATCTGGTACAGCAGTTCATTGGTTCAAGTTGACAAACTTCATACCAGCATGTAAAACAGTAGAGAGAATAAGGACGAAATTAAAGTAGACAAAAGTGTATGGGAGTTAGAAGAATGAATCGATTCACACTCATGAAAAAATTCAAGAACTCAAAGGTGACAAAGAAAGCATGTATCTGAACCATTATAACAGATTTTCAGCTATATCACAAACAGTACCGGAGCATTGACGCCTATTGCCTCGAGGACTTCAGCCAGATAGCCTACTTTTTCCTACATGGCTAAAATCAGTATCCATAACAGCATCCGTTTTTCCACAGATAATTCACGTTTGTCTTCTAGCTGCATCCCACTTCGGCTTCTTGCTTACACTATAATGCAGTTAACCAATCTCCTTTGTTTACCTCTCTCTAGAACATTTGTTATGTCGACTGTCTGCTCTTGTAACTTTCACCCAAGATGCTGGATTATATCCTACTAAAACGTTTTTTATCAGTAGCATGCACCACAGTTGGTGTTATTTTCTTGGTTTCAGCATGTGAAGGTATCTTTTACTCATCACTTGTTTGGTCTGACATATTACATCGATAAAGATTGTAAATTAAATGTCATATATATCTTCTTGGGTTTCAACCTATTCATTTTATAGTCGGAAGCTACTTATTTGTGGCTCCATTGTCTATAATCCGTATTCAATGTTCATCTTAGATAACAATACACATACATTCCCTAAATGGTTTCAGTTGTGCTGAAATTTTTTAAAGATTCATAATTATAACATTTAACAGTGGAACTATGAACATACGTTCTATAGTGATGATGTATCTTTTATACAAATACAGTGTTTATAGAAAAATGAAGTGATATTTATGTCATAAATAAATAAATAAATCCATCACATGATCTAGATTCACCATTCACTACTGATGTGCATAAAAATGTAAATACGAAGTACCAGTTGGTAGAAAATTGGTTTTACAGGCATATAAGTTGACAGTTTGCTAAACTAAGCCTATCTTAGATGTTTCAACCAAGTGCCCACCATTTCTCCTTATCTCCGATTCAACTCGACATGGACTGGCGAGAGAAAACGTGACTGAGCGGCTAATGTGATGATGACAAACGGATGATATTATTCATCCGCATGAAAATTGGGAAAAACCCCTTTGGAACTGAAACCTGGTTAGCAAGTTGCCATTGATATTCAGTTAGTAAAGCGCCAGAACGGTGAACTGGAAATTGCTGGTATGATCTGTGATTTGAATTCATTACCTCCATAAGATTAAGAATGAGATAATGAACTTCAATTTAGTGCAACCGAAATACTATAAGTCAGTGGATGTTCAGTAAGAGAGAGAGAGAGAGGGAAGACGGTTGCGGTGAAGAGAAAAAGTCTTTTCGACAAAATCGTTCCTTTAGCTGTACATTTGTGAACATATATTAGAAACAATAGAACATTCTAGGATAGTTTGAGGTCAAAGGTCAGAATAAGTTGTACCACAAAGGGAAGTTGTGTAATATATATATATATATATATATATATATATATATATATATATATATATATATATATATATATATATATATATATATATATATATATAAGAAAACCAAAAATTGATTGCAAGACAAAATATAATTATATTACAAGGGGATTATCTAGAGCGGTCAGTTCTCTAGCCGAAACAGTGAATCATAAGACGTATATTTTAGAGATGGTCAGAAGAAGGCTTGGCTTCAAGTACTCATTCCTTAAATAAGTGGGCTTGAAAGACTACGCAGACCACCCTGAAAAATACTGACATATGTAATTACGCTTCTATATTTTATGAAAATCTACTTTTCTAGCCGGAATATGGAAATCTGGTTGCTTATTACAGGACCTTTAAGTAGCCCTGCATTCAGCTCACTAGCAAAAAAAGTAACTACTAATCTAGATGGTAAGAAAATGACTGCTTATAAAGCAAAACACTATACATGAATCAGCCTTTAGATGACAATCAGGTTTGTCTTTTAGGCTTGAATTCTGATCTACACCAATTCCCAACGAATTTTAAATACTCATAGCAGGAGACTGGTGTCCAGTGTTTACCATTGATGACATCTAATTCAAAGAAAATATTTATTAATCCCGACTCCATGTGGTTATTTCATTTTCAGATTGGAACGCAATTATAATGAACAGTGACGATTTTGCGTTCATTTTGAAAAGGTTTTTACATAATGTAACAGAATATTTATCTTATTCATGCATACCGTCATAGCTTTTAAATAGATGGGTGCCGGATTCGACAGAGTTCTGGTTAGAACACGAGTTGACAGGTCCAAAATGAGAAAAAACCTGCATCCTCGACACCTATGCTAGAAACTAGCAAGTAAAATAACAAATACGTATTATGCCTTTGTATTACTACCCAGTCATTTCCGTTACCTGTTAAGGCTGGAAAAAGTTTTCTACGTGAAACCTAAATCATTCCTAAAACCTGGATAAATTGAAATATCAATCACACCTGACCACATGACCAAATATTCTTCTGTTGTAAGTTTATTCGTTTTTTTGAAATGTAGAAAATGGAATAAAAAATGATCAAAACAGTTGTGTACCAACAAAGAACACATTAATCAATAAGTAAATAGAAAGATAAACAAGTACGCGAGCAAATTAAATGTCACAGCAGTAACCATTGGTTTTATCAGCACTATTCATTACAGAGGAAGAAAACGAAAATAAACCTGAAAAAAAAAGAAAAATTACCTCGTCCGTTTCTGCACCGAATAGAAGTAGGTCGAAGGGAATCGCGGCAACAACATCGATCAAGAACCAACCTTTAAAATAATGAATAGCTATTTGACCAGGATGTGAGACTAATTCATCATTTCTATTCACATAAGTTGTACGAAAATTAATGAATATATCCACAATGAACATGATGTCCACAAATAAGTCAATTATTTGTAATGGATTCTGATAGGATGTTAAACCACTGTAACGTCCCCAACCATCCTGGATTAAAAAAGGTGTATATGTAAGATAGCAGCAAAAAGAAAGGTGGAATGAAAAGATATTATTGATTTTTGTCTATAACGATGCTATGTAGTATATATTAGAAGTTAATTTTGAAGGTCATACTTTCGCGCCTTATGCAGTATGAATGGAAAGAATATTCGAGTTACCAGTTTTATGAATCTAATTAACTTGAGGACATTATTGATACTGCGAAAATAAAGAAATAATTAATGACTGGCATTGAATAGCTGTTTTTCCCTTAACTATTTTGAAATAGGCTAATCTGACCTGAAAAATATATAACACGTTTAGTTAATAAAATGAATGTTGAGTCGTAAGTTTGTATTTTTCAAACTCAATTTTTCCCTGCAAAGAGCTCATGAAGTTGAACTCCTCGAATGTCATAAGGGATGGAACGGCAGTATAACCATCTATAGATAACAATTCATTGATTGGCTAGTCACTAGTTGATATAATATATAAATGTAGAGTACTAAACAACAAGCTCTAAATAAATTTACTCATTGAGAAATACAAATACCAAAACAATGAATATCATTTACCCAATGCTCAAATTTTCTCAAACATTCTGCAAATTTTACCCTTGAGGGTCACTTGGTGCCTCGAAACCATGTATTTTCAAGTTAAAAAGTGAACAAAATACATCGGTATGTATACGTTCTCAATGACCTTGACCATTTCTGCACTTTCCTAAGAGAGTATTTCCTGTCAATTCTGTCTTAATAGCCAATAGGATACTTAGAAGTATAATCATATGCCTTTTCGTGAATATTCGGTATGCGACTATTGGTTGTAAATGCTTTCAGAAGATTTGGAGCCTCTTTGAAGGACCTAGTCGGTAATACTGAACAACTTAACATTTTCCTATTTCTTAGTTGACTACTTATTGCCTGGTACATATCTTCCAAGTCAGACTATTCATTCTAGCGCATAGCTAGCATGATGCTATTTCAGGATTTCCGCCAGCACACACGTTTGCAACAACACCATAATCAGTCAATAGTGAGAAGAAAACTGCTATGAGAATAGTTTAGCATTTAAAAACTGAAATACAGCGAATGCTAAGCAGAAAGAGGAGATGCCTGGTAAGCTTTTCAACAGTTTTCCAGTTATCACATAACATGCTACATATCCAATTAGAGAAGATGAAAACTTAGTTGGTCATGGAGGAGAAAAGTTAAATTGTTAGTGTGACAAATGTAAGTTACCTAGTAACTCAAAAATGCTGACTATAAAAACTTTACATGAGGCTTGATAGACTTGTAAATTTGAAAGCACTTTCATCGTGGATGGACATCAGTCGGAGGAACATTTGAAACCTTGGGACAATGGACAGCTGTTTCATCCTAGTATTCAATTCCTCGGCAGCGCATACCCATATCCCCGTTACGGATCGCGCTCACAATCATCAGTTCTCAGTGACCAAGTTACTATTCAACCGCAAATACCAAGTACTTCTGGGCTTTCAAAAGTTCTCTAAATGATATCAAATGCCTGATGAAAATTATAATAGAGCCAGAAAAAAAGGATAGTAGATAGTCCTTGTGAAAGCAGAGATAAGACTTAAATAGACAGTGGTAGAAACCATAAAGCAGAAAAAGAATTCTCTAAACAACCACACATTAGGTAAGGAGCCAAGTCCATTGTATAATGGCTTCATCATATTACCTGGCTGCTCAAACCTCAGTAGCGTGTAAATGAGTTAGAACCAGTAAATTAAAGTTAAAAAAGTGTCTAATATAGGATCAATAATGAGAACCTTTTTGTCTACGAATTCGCAGTCATCGACATCGACCTAATGTCTGTTTTCATAGTTTTCGCTTTTATAAACCGTGAGACAGAAGAACTGACTCGTGAATTTCTGAGCTTTTTTAACAATGTTATTCGAAGACGTCGAGTCCTTTCATAATACATGACTGCCTCCCGATTGTGTCTGCATTATAACAATTCGACAGCTGCTTACCGTCTGCAATACGTTCTTTTGGAACAAAATAACACCAACCTTGGCAAAACCACACATCGTACACCGAAGCTCAACAAGCTGTCCTTGAAAATGGCAGTATAAATATATAAAAATTCCAAACATTTACAATATAATCAATTACAAAGGCAGTCCAGACAATGTCTGTCTACATGATTATTTCGAAGACAGACATGATACTTGATGGGTGTTAAATAAGGATACGCTTTAGGCCTTCCACAAAGTTAATAATTCTCTCATTTAAAATAGGTTCTAGAATGACTATGAAAGAAATTTTAACTGTGCATATATGCGTATCAGGTTAATTTCAGCATCACTCATTTCCATAATGTTAGTCATCATTCACTTTTCCATAAACAGACTGGCCTGAAACAGGTTAACTGTCATCCCTTTCATAAGGAAGTTAGTAGAATGAACGAGAAATTTGTAATTTGATGTTAGGGGTCAAGTGACACGAATGAATTCTTATACCGAAAGCTTGAATGGGAAGTCATCTGTTTCTAAGTGAAATATGTTAAATTCCAACACTGGTTTTCTGTGATTAATGATTATACAAACACGTTGTGTTTTGGGTATAATGAAATATGCCACGTTTTTCTGAAGACTATGTAAAAATCTAAAGATACGGGTAATGCTAAAAAATGCGTGCACATAGCTAATTTATGTAATTCACTGTGAATTACATAGACCAAAAATCATATCACACAACCACCATCCCGGATTTCTTATTCTATCATAATAATGTCGTATGGAGCTGTTGAAATATGACATTGAAAGTTCATAACTTCCCAGTAACTCCTTATGAAGTTATTGAAGCAGTTAGCTCTTTCTAAAGATGAATGAAGACTACTGAAATGACTAAACTTTAGTCACCGTTACCTTGCCTGCTCTAAGCAACCACTCTATATCTATTTCGCGCCACTAGTTAGTGAAATGGAAAGCAATTATGGTGTGTGATTTAACGCATCACTTAGGAATGACTGTTTGCTTGAAAAACTGATGAGCGAAAATTTCATCTGGTTATAACATATAAAAAAAGGTTTTTGGAACATAGAACAGCAGTTCGTTCAGGTTGCACATAAGGCTTGCTGATGAATTCCAACAAGTACTGAATCTAGGTTGATCACAGCTTCTGAAAATGGGATCGTACATCAGGACTTTTAACGCCTCTTATTTCAGAATATTCAAAAACGTGGCTGCTTGAAGTGTTCGTTGACGAATTAGAGGTACGCCTATTGAGTCGTATAGAAAAATGAAATACTCTCTATAAGTTGAGCTCTAGATGTGGTTAATTCCAAATCACACATAAATCTCATCTCAGACGAAGTGAATTGGGACTTCAGTGGTTTATCACAAGTCATACATTTATCACAAGGTTTGCTATGAATCTTTCTTCATAATGGTTTTAGATACCATTCCTTTAAAAGCTGTACCCAAACTTCTCCTCGGTTAGCAGCTGACCACTTTTGCAACGGTCTAAACTTACTAAATAGTGGCAACTGAGTTCAATGTTGTTTAAATAATTTCATGAAAACACAATTTAGCAGGAGAGGCTTAAAATCAAGATATTTGAAGTGTAGTGCAGTTTTCATTTCAAAATAATCTTGGCGCCAGTGATGCTTTTTATTCTCTATGTGTACAGCTGCCTCTTAGTTATTACAGTTACAAGATTTGAATATATTTTTATCATTATTTAGATTTTTCTGGAAACTTCATTGACAGTTATAAACTACACTCAATACGTTTTGAAATACACTTTCTGAAATGTTACACAACTTTATCACTACAGAATAAAATTTCTACCAATTTTAAATTAAATTTGGATTTAATTTTAAACGGATGGTGATCAGTTTCTCAAACGTGATTTCATGTAATAAATGATCATGCTTTCTTTAAGCCAATATCTAAGCACAAATAGCTTATCTGGACTCAACTAGTCAGATTCCAACAAATTGTTCTAATGCAATAGAAATGTGTCTTGGTTACACAAACACATCATCTTTTAACCAGAGGAATCAGCCAATCATTTTTCCTTTCCAATTTTTTTCTCCACCCTAAATAAATTAGGGATAGAAGTATGCCGGGCACTAAACGTCAACCCATATATGGGTGTGGTTTGAAAACAAGGAGGACAAAAATAGTGGAACAAAAAATGACACAGAAAGGACTTCTTTGTGAACAGATAATCAAAAGTATTCAAAGTGGGGAAAATGCTAAAAATCTTCATGAATTCCATCATCAATTGTGGGTAGTAACACTATATTCTTTAACTATGTTGATCAAGAGGTTGTATGGTGATTTCTCTGAATGAAAGAGGTGTCTGCCAGGCAGGTATGTTATCTGACTGATGGTTCTATACTTCAAAAGTCCTGGTGACGTCGATACCTATACAAAGCTGCCCTCTGAGGCTTTCATGTCGAATGATATCCACCAGGGGTTCAGGTTTTAATACAGAAAATAAATTGGAATGCTTATTTCAAGTGATTGCGCTGATAACTGCGGAAAATTTCTCGTTGACACTGTCCATCAATTCTTAATTTCTACTCACCTCACTTTCTGAATCTCACTGCAATTACCTACGTCTTTTCCACACCAATGAGTCGCCGACTGAACTGAAGAGAAGACAACATATTCACAACAGTCCTTATTTCTCCTCTCCCAGATTTAAAGCTGAAGTGCTTATACAGCTGAATTGCATGTCCAGAACACACAATATATTATAAATACACAAAAAAAAAACAGATCAGGCAACAAAATAAGAGATTTCGTTTACAGTTAATTGACGACTGCTATTCAGTGAAGCAACATGAGGTAATAAACAATAGGTCTTTACAAACTTGTATAAATCCTTAAACAAAAATATTGTAATTAACTCCTAATTCAACTCACAGGTGGGTGGATAGACTGAGGCAGAAAGACACTTAGGTGCCACTTTCGGAATACCAGTTTAACGAACAAATAACGGTGGTCGCCCAATACAACTGTGCTCGGATAA